TACCACTAAACAGAATCTCAGCCAAGAAGTCTATTCTACTTTGACTTCTGATCACTCCAACTTCATCCTGACAGAAGTCAGTTCCCACTTTTCCCCAGCAGAAGAATTTTGGTGGTATGCATAACAATTTTTTTCTGAACTCAGAACCAGATTAAAGTAAAACAGGGGAAGAAAATGCTTTGAAGAAACACAAACATTTTAAACAAAAACAATCATTTTTCTAAATGGTTTTATTTACATTTTTCATATACAAGAACGTTAAATGATACATTCTGACTAGTATCCACACCAGTGTGAATTACATGAATTAAAGATACTGATGTATTGCATATGATGAAATGCAAAACAATCAACCCTAAGCTTTGGTCCCACCCTCTGAATCCTCATACAGCATCTGGTTTGTTACTGAGACATCTAAAATTCAAAGTGTTCATATCAAATAGAAGTTATCTGAACAAATATATCTAGTTTCATTTCTTTAGAACAAGCAGTAACACAGGAGTCTTACTTGCAAAATTCGCAAGACGAAAAATACATATTGACAGCCAAACACTTTACACGCATGTTACTAGCTTTGTATTTATTGTTTCTAGACTTGGGGTATTTGTCACAACTGTCTTGTGCTTATGATTTTTAAATCTTTAATTATGGCAACCTTTCAACCGCTACTAACAACAGTTCAATGTGACCAGGATATAATGCAATATTATACTCAACAACGAAAAAGGTAAAAAGGTGTGGTGTAAACTGGCCTGAAACATTCAGGACAATTACAGATTAAAGTTTCAACTTAGAGCAACTGGAACTAAAAATTCTTTAGATCATTAAAAAAAATGTTGCAAATACATGAACATAGTTTAATAAGTGTGCTTAAGAAGATTTTCAATCTGGTGATTTCTCAAAGGAAACTAGCAGAGAAAAAGGTGACAACTTCAAATGCTTGCTTCAGAACTACTGAAATACTTACAACACTCGTAAAGTAAAAGTTCTTTCAAGTGCATGAAAAGCATTATCAAGTCTTTCTGTATCTAAAAGATGATTCAAACAGTCGAAGAGACAAAGAAAATAGTAATAGACAGCTGGGTCTATGGGATCATAGGGTGTATTACATCAGAATTTATTTTTACATTTCTGTAGCACCTTTTAGCCAGATGCCAAAAGCACTTTAATCACTAAAGTGAGCCTCACAACAACCCTGTGAGGTAGGTACGTATCTGTTTTAATAATGGCAAAACAGTTTAAATAACTTACCCAAGAAGATACAGCAAATCAGCAGAGTGAGTAGGCTAGAATCCAGATCATGTGATCTATGAATTTAACATTATGGCACATGTGGGACTGAGACTTACATGCTCCTTTTTAAAACTGTGAAAGAGGCACTGACATGTGAATTGACTCAAGTTTTCTGGAAGTAGATTTTTATGGGAAAGGTATCAAGAGAAAAATATGCTTTAAGCAACTAGAGAAAACAAGAGTCTGAATAAGAAGAGTGGCATTACTGTACCACTTCCTAAATTTTAGTAGATGCAGAATAGCAAGTTAACTATTTTACTTGCTAAAATACGTACCAAAAATAGACTACATAGTCTGTCAAATTCACCAAATGGAACTCTATTCTCGCAAGTCTCAAGCATTCAAATGCTATGACCCAAAAACTTTGTGAGCTGGGAGTTGTTTCATCCAATTCTTTTATTTCTATGTCCTGCAACTGCTTCTTTGAACGTCAGAAGAAATAAGAACCAGTGTGAGAATCAAAATGTTTTGACCAATTCAAACTTTAATAGTGGAATTCCCATTAACAAACTGTCAAGGCATGCTCTTCCCAGTTAATCTCCATGTTCTACTGACTACCAGTCATAACCAGTCATAACAGAGGCCAAAGCATATAAATCGGTGCTTGGCACATAAAATGGAAACATGAAGTACTCAGTTACTTCAGCACAGTCTGTGTATCAATAGCAGTAAGTTAGATGATACACTAAGTGCTGAGCACTGCTTTACACTATATTCCACTAGGGAACAAAGTCATACACAAAAAGGAAAACAGAGTCAGTGACCTGAACAAACACTGTCATAAAAACAAGAGGTAATCACAGCAGTAAGGCCTGCACTTAGAAGTTTTACATTACAAAATGAACTGGGATATGCAAGGAAACAGTTTTTGTTCATGTAGATTATAAACAATGATTTCTACTTGACAATTGGAAGTGACCAAAAAGAACACATTCCTCAAGTTAGGCAAAGGGAAATTTAAAGATTTCTAACAATTTTTTAAAGAATACAGCTGTTAAAGGGCTAATTCCTTTTTTGTAAGGCCATAAGCATAACCCTCACCCTAGCTCATCTTCCAATAATAGACCACCACTATGTAATAATATTCAGCTCAGATTTATGTCGTTCAGAGGACAAAATTCTCTAGTAAAAGACAACCTGCCAGAAAACAACCCCCACTTTCCTCTCCCTTTTTGTCTTTCTGTGATGCAAAGAGGAAACGTTATCACGTTAAAGAGGAAAGTGATATGCTTGTTTTGACATGAGGAAAAACGCAGCTTACAGATGACTGAAGATCTAGCAATTTTCAGATTTAAATACTGAGGGAGTGAAAGTGAATCAAAAGTAATGCTAAACAAACATTTACCACAGGTTTACTTTCCCAACTCAAGGCTGGAAGTATCTATCAAGACAAACTTTCTAGCAGGAGGAGACTACTAAGATTTCCAAGGAAAAAAGCTTTTGGAAAATACCTTCCCTACATTCCCTGTACATCTTGGGGCTGCAATAAAAGAAGCCTCAAAACAACTCCTCTATCTCAGGTAGCCTTCAAAAATTAATTGAAGTCTTAATTTACATTCAACCACCCTGTTAAAAGAACATTTGAGAAAACATTTCATTTTTAATTTACTCTCAGATGGGACTGTACATATGTATGCAACTTAAAACAACACTGACAACAGTGCCCAAGTGTGTGAATATGTATATTTTTAGAGAGGAATTTGGAAATAAAAAGTTATTTCAGCTTATAGCTACAAATGGTTACATATACTAAAAAAAGGCAGAGATAAGCATGTTGCTTTTAAGTTAAATCGGTCGCTATGTGAGTTTTGAGAGAAGTTACTGGAACCAAGAAAGAAAAGTTGAAAATTTAAGTCATAACTGGGATTTTAAAAATCTGCCTGTTAAGATGAAAGATAAATTTCTAAAAAGTAATCTCTTGCATTTCTTTCAGATATAACCCTTTTCAAGTGTAGCCTCTACCAGAACTCTGCAGTTCACATTTTTCCATTGTTTTAAATAACAGAATCATATATTCCATTCCTCTTATATTTGAAGTGTAGTTATAGGCAGACACACACACACACACACAGAGGAGCTAGTGATCTTTATGCCAATTCTTTCCTTCTCAAATTTACCTTGTGTTACCTGGTTACCATACCTGCTGGGTAGAAGCTGATCTTCCTTCCTTGAAGCAGCATGTAAAAAATTATACCCTAGACTGTTTTAAGCTTTGCCACTGTTAATGTTTCTAAATACTGCTAGATTATAAATTGATTAAAAGGTATCAGTTAAGGGAGGTAACGTCTGTCAATTCATCTCTGAACATGGTTCAAGACAAGAAGCCTCAGACAAGAAGCTTTACGCTGATAATAGTACTTTCTGCTGAAAGAGCTACAATGTAGTACAGGCTTTCTGAGGTGGTCTTACTCAACTTTAAATTTGAGGCATGGGAAAGATAAAGGCTTTAAATAAGCACAGAAATCAGATAACTTAATGTAACCATCAAACTAGAGTAGATTCTAAAGACTAGATCCTGTAGCAAACATTGCAGGGTACAGAAGGCTAATGGATTTGGCTGCAGGGTCCCAAAAGGAAAAACATACATCTGTATGTGTTAGTGCATTCAGTATCTCCCAAAGATGTCCAATCACCAACATTCCAACTACTACTACAAACTACTGGAAACAAAATAGTGAAAATTCTACAATATTTAATTAGGTAATATTAAATTTAGGTTGCGCTATTTTGCACTTTAACATCTTACCATAAACTGCAATATAAAAATTTCTGTTAAGATTCCCATGATCCCAATTTTATTTAATAGTCTTCAAAATTTACTGCCAGCACACATTTGGATATGTAATTTAATGTAAAATAAGATATGATAACTATACAATGCAGTTTTGCCACTCAGATTGCTGCTTAGAAAATTTCACATAAAATGGAAAAAAATTTAGCTATCTCACTTCTCATATACAGAACACAGGTCCCCACCCCTGTAGTTTAGCATGTAGAAGATCTGTTTCTTAAAAACGTGCAGCTAGAAGATGCCCACAAAAAGCATGTGTATTAGTATTAAATATCAGCTACAGAAAAAAAAAGAATTCTGATTATACAGTGCATTTCATGGCGTGTCATTAAAGACTGTTTAAATGATCAATGCACTTAGTGGGAAGTTTTATATAGTTATGTAAACAATCACAATTTTGTTGGGATTTTCAGAAGCTAATGAGTTGCGCTAATGCATTTTCCCCAGCATTTTCATTCCAGAAATCAGCTTCCATCCCACACCCTCCCTGAAAACACTGTTCACAGAAACACTCAATTCCCTAAGAAAGCAAAAAAATTAGAAGATCCAAACATTCACAGAAAGTTATTCAAATAAGTTTGTACATATAAATAAAAAAAAAGTCCTCTAAATAAATGACACGGGAGGCAATAAATTGACACGACAAGTAAATAAAAGGCTAAAGCACTCCAATACCATTGAAACGGTTTTAATGTTGTTGCAATTCCATAATGCAACAATCATCATCTCATAAAAGACCCAATACTTTAGAATTCATTTTAATCACTCCTTTGTACCTATTTTACAAAATAAAGGCAAGGCATATTTAAAATCCCCTTTTCCCTAGATATTATGTGCCTATCTTACTTACGCTTATGAAAGTATAAACTTAAACTCCTATTAAATGTTATATAAGAAAAAATGTAAAAATATTAACCTCTGCTTCAATGTACAGTTTCCAGAATCTGCCAGAACTGGGGAACTGGGCAACAAGGCGTTCATAGGTCTTCCGTGCTTTGTCTATAGGTTGATTCTAAAAATTGAAAATCAAAACAGCATTTACAATATTATGATTTATGTAAATGAATATGCTGATTTTACTCCAGAACCAAATAGTGTGAGTGGACCATAGATAAGGAAATGTAATCCTATGTCACTAAACCTGTGCTTCTCGAATGAGAATGCTCCAAGCGTCAAGGTCATATGGATTTTCTTCTAGTTTCTTTTCAGCTTTCTTCACTTTTTCTGGGACATATTCGGCAGCCTAGAAAAATTAAAAAGAAGAAATAAGAGATCACCAGTAGAGTTTGAAAAGTTCTGTCCCAGCTACGAAGTCAAGCTGACGACAACATTCTGACAGTGTAACATTCCAGATCTCAGGTTTTATGCTGAAGTTACTAAATTGTAATTTTATCTGGAAAACAAGTTATCCCAGTAAGATAACGCACTCTTACCACAACAAGTTCTACATATTTGGTGATCCAGCAAAAAGCCAGACTAAACTGACTAAATGTTTCTGAAACACTAGAACAAATTTGAGTTTGCCAGAAAATTTATTGTACTATGAATTTTAAACAGTTTTACCGACCTGAAACTTTTAATATGCAAAAAGTAAATTCAGACCAATTTTTCTATTACAGACCTCAGCCAAACAAATCCAGTTACTGCATTACTCCTGTATATGCAAGACAGTATTTCATATCACAACTTACAGATTTAACAAGAAACTAGGAGGTGACAATTCTAGCAGCAACATATACATGTTACCCAAGCACAATTTGTTAACTTTCTGACCTGTCAATCAGTGTATTCTTACAGTTGCCTTCCTGTAGCTTTGGCACTAACTACCTTAAACTGCTTTTTTTACATTAGACATTCATATTGGAGTTTAAAAGCTTTTCCGATACTAAAAGCTTTACCAAATTGAATGTTAACTTGTTAGCATAGTTACTATTACGGTATAGGTTAAAGACTTGTGGAAATATCTTACTTTATGGTCTCCAGAAATTTTTTTCTAGATTTAACACTGTTAGCACAAAGTAGATTGTACAGTTAGCACTATACAATCTGATGATCACATACAGACAAGCCTTAAAATACATGCTTGTTAAAACCCTAAACGATATGAAGTTTTTTATTAAGCATGAAATATTGTTCTGACCTGTACTCCAAACAGCTTATTTACTAACTTTCCAAACTTGACTCATTTTCAGGCAGATGTTAGAAGTCCCAAAGCACACGATCAATTAAATTCTTGCCTTCGTGAGATGTAACGATAGTAACCTGCAAATTATTACTACAAGACCTTTCCTGTGAAATTTTACAAGTTAGCTACATAATTACTGTTAGAATATATGATTCTGTATTGTATAGCACAGTGTGACTTATTTACTGTACAGAAAATTCTAAAAAACCCTGTCAATTGCTAAAAGATTATTTCAAGGAAATAATTTTAATTTTTAATATTGGATCTAGGTCAATACATAGCTCTGAAGATGAAAAAGACAGTAAACAGGACAGAGAACTCATACGCCTATCAATTAAAAAGGGAAAGAGAAGGTAACTAGACACTACAGAGGTATGACTTCTAGTAAAATTAACAAGCATCACTATTGTGCTGAAACCAGGACAATCACTATTGCACATCACTCCTGAAGGAAAGCAGAAAGAATACAAATCCAAGGTATTATTAATGGATTTTACTGGAAGACCATTTACAGTGGCATTATATGAAGATAAGCTGCCAGTGGAAAGAGAAGGTAACTAGACACTACAGAGGTATGACTTCTAGTAAAATTAACAAGCATCACTATTGTGCTGAAACCAGGACAATCACTATTGCACATCACTCCTGAAGGAAAGCAGAAAGAATACAAATCCAAGGTATTATTAATGGATTTTACTGGAAGACCATTTACAGTGGCATTATATGAAGATAAGCTGCCAGTGAAGTATTGTACAAAACAGTGACTTAAAAAAGAAATGAAAAGAAAAAGCTGGAGCTAGCAAATGCAGTAAGCCTGAGTTACTTAGGAACATCAACTTTATTTTCAGGAGTGCCCTGCCCCTTTGCTTTTGTCAACACCTGCAAATGCACTACTGTACAACAGTTGCTTATGCTATACATCGCAATTCAACTTAATCTTTTAAAAAAGCTACGTATTTTTGAATATTTTTCAGCACTACCAGTTTTTGTGTCAGTCCTACTAGTAGGATATAATTCAAGGCATATCCCTTAAAAGATTTAAAATTAAATTTACTTATAAAGTGGACAAATGATCAAAAATGTTGCAGAACTCAAACTGACATGTAATAGCAGCCATGCATGAAAGGGAAAAGGAAAAAAAAATCAGTAGGAGGGGCTTTATAGGGGTTTAAGGACCATTATTCTTTGCGATTAAGTTTTCAAGTCATTCTTAACATTAATTGCTCAGTGCAAAGCAGTGTAGCTGGGAAGGCAAGTATCAAGTCCCACAGAAAACTAAATTATAAAATTAATTTGATTTAAAAAATCATATTGAAAATTAGTAGCTCAAAGTTGTCAGCTCAAAAGTAGTAAATTTATAAATTTCCATATGAATATTTTTACATCCCTAAGTTCATCAAAATTCTGACTCTGTAACACTGCATGTTATAGTTCAACTGATACAGACTTAAGATGCAAAACACAGTATGAAATGAACTAGTGGTTTTATTTCTTCCAAAATGACATGCATAAACATATTTCAGCTTACGGAAGACAGCACTGAAGCTGAAATTTCCAAAGTTTAAAGACTAATTTATGTACGTTATCTTCACAGATGACCCAAAGTCAAAATGTTGTTTATTCAATAAAGCACTAATTCAAATTTGCCCACATCAGTGGTAAGCATTGCTTCTCATTATATTCCATCTCAGTGAAATCTACTTGTCTCAAATATTCAGTCAAGGATATATTACTCTGCATTCCATTAGACAGAAATGCCTATCAGGAGTACTATTAATGTCAGCTACAATAAAAAAAAAACCACCCTACAAAAACAACTGAAGCATTTGTTGAAGCACAGGGTCCTGCACTGTAAGTAGTGACTTTCAAACAGGAAAAAGTAGAATGGGCCACTGAAGCACACCTCAACTATTTCAGTAGTAGTTCAGTTGTATTATCTCAAACCTTTCCATGTGACACACAAAACTCAGCTGACACTGCAGTGAAACAGTTAAGGCTTCCAGGAATTTGATTTCACCTATGCAGATACAGGGCAATAAACACAGAAAGGCTGAAATAAATTAAGCTGGTAAAAAATAAATGCTGATAAGATGCACAATCACAGCAATCCTACATTAATTTTGTATATTTGATACAGGACTCCTAATCTGTGTAAGAAGCATAATAAAATGTTCATTCTTTTATTGGAAAAAATAAAAGACTAATTTCCTAAATTAGCAAATATTCACTTAGTAGCAGCAGATAAAGTTCTCCATGCAGTTATACAAGACAAAAATTATAGGAGCTCTACAGAATTGAAGTAACGATATGATCAGGATTTTAAACTGGACTGCTTGGAATTGCTTGTACCTTATGTCATATGGAAGGCAACACCCAACTTCTTAAGGCCAGTGAGCACTCCTTCTCCTGTCCCTATCCTTCTCCAGGACGGATAAAAGCCATCCACATTTCAGAGAGGCAAACTGCACTGCAGACAAATCAGTGTCCTGGTTACATCCGAGCCAAAACAAGGCCTCATTACCTTGCACCTTCAGAAAAAATCACTCCTAATATATTGGAGAAATCAACACTTAGGATTTCCAGTCCAGGCCGTTTTGCCAGAACTAGGAGTGTGAGCAAAGATGCATTCAGTTACACATCAAATCTGGGAGGACATCTACTGCAAGCACGCAGTGAATGGGAACAAGGAGCTTGACTTTTAACCTAGCTCAACTACAGCCAGAAAGACATTTGATCCCAATTTTGAAAACTGCATGTTAACTGCACTCTGTGCTTAGATCTGCTGTTATCACAGTGCAAGGCTATGTGCCTTTTGATTACGTATTTTTAATTGTACTGCTTGCACAACAGCCAATATCCAACATTGTGAATACTTAATTCTTGGGTGTTTGTTTACTGCCATGATCCCGCCACTATAAGCATTTTCAGGCCCCCCCTCTGGTTAATAAAAACACTGGAGTTATTCTCATCCTGTAACGAGCCAGTTCAGAGAGTTAAATCAGCAGAAAAATAATCCTGTTAGAAAAGTGATTGACTTTCTAATGGTTCAACTCCTTGATTTCAGGATCAGATGTGATGCAAAATAAAGGACTTTAGCAGTCACAACTTAGATCAGGTTAAACTACCATAAAACTGCACCTAATCAGATAGATACTGGCTTTTAACTCTTCTTTACTGCCTGAAAAAAAAAATGCTGCTAAGAATTGTTGCATACAAACTGAAAAAATACTTTTTTCCTCTGCTTTTGATAATGGTATTCAGTATACCTCCCACATAATTGGGCTCCTATCCCACAAACAACCCTCTGAAGGTCATGGAATTATTTTAGCACATAAGGTTCCATGTCCACAAGTATCTGTATTATTACCATCTAGTCTGATTCACAGCTTCCCTTTCATTATTTACACACAGATAAATAGCAATGGAATTTTAGTTTCACAGATACTAAGAGTGTAAAATGATCTTTATGACCGCAGTTTCCAAAATCTGAAAAGACCTAAACCCAAATTACTTAACAAGTCTAGGAGCTCCTTCCTGCAAAATACATCAGCTGCACAAAAACCAAATTTGAATTCGTAAAGGATGTCTGAGGGAACAAGAACAGAAGAAACAAAGTTGACTTTTAGTATTTACTAAAAGTTATTTATCAATCCGCTTCAAGGAAAAATTCTTGGTTTATACCTTACTGCTAAAAGCAACAGTTAACAGTTTCCCAGGCCTCTGACAATGAACCCTCATGACTCCAAAGTGTGTAAGAAAATACCTAGCGAAACACCTCTTTCAACTATTTGCACCACCTAATGCATCCAATTGCTTAAAGCATCCTCCTGTTTCCACAAAAGGATCTTCTGCAGTGAAAAGGAAATGTATTTAAACAGCTGCTCCACCTGTTTAAGATGCTTTAAAAACTACCACTAATTATGAAATGAGAACTTCTACAAACAAGACATGTAGGCCGTCGTACACAAAAAGACAGGAATTTTAATGGCTAGTTCAGTCAAATGGGTTCAACAGCCAAAAGGAGTTTTCTGTCCATTAAGACAGAAGCTACTGTATGG